CCTAGTGCCTTTCTCTATCTTGCATACAACCTAGAATTAATATCTTAGCATAATTTAGTTATAAATAGTAGTTGTTAAATTGTACTTGATGATCATAAAAACCCAAAAATGATAGAAGATCAATTAGAAGCAAACACGCATTTCTAGGCTAAGCAAATATCCAACTCCCTTTGTAGCTCCCTGTGGAAATTGACCCCGATACCACTATTGGGTAAAAGTATTAGCGCCCACTCTTCCTAAGGTTGAGTTCGCTGCGCGACTAATCAGCTAGCACGTCCAGCAACCCCTAGATTTGCACACAAGGTGCAGGGAGTAATGTGAGTACGCCAACTCAGTAAGTAATAAAGGTAAATAAAGACTGAGCAGTAAGAAACACATAAAAACCTCATCATGAAATCTCAGTAAGTACAACATGCTTTCAAATCAGTATGTGAGTCAAATCATCTCGTTTTCAAATTCAGTTTTCGGTAAAAATCATTGAAGATATCTTTCAACAGTTTTCAACAGAGGCTCAATACAATTGACAGTAAAAGTGATGAAAATAATAAACAGTCCCTCGGGCACAACATCACTCATAAACAGCCCCTCGGGCATATCTCATATCACTCACTCAGGGTACCCGCGCTTACTGGGGGTGTGCAAACTCCAGAGGCGCTCCTTACAGCCGAAGCGCTATAATCCGCATGGACAACTCACGTGTTGCACGGACAACTCACGTGCTATAGTATCAATATCAGAATTCGCACGAACAACTCACGTGCTGCACGGACAACTCACGTGCTATACTCTCAACATCCTCACAAAAACAGGCCCTCGACCTCACTCAGTCATAAACCTCTCAAGCCACTCGGGCTATCAGTAAAAATAGGGTGCTCAGCCCAAAATATCATTTTATGCATCAAAACGGAGTAGTAAAGACTGAGTTATGGTATCAGTAAACACAACATGACTGAGTATTAATCCTAAATCAAAATAGTGAGAGGATAATAAGAAAAGGCCCCTAAGGGTCCAAACAGCTTGGCACGAGGCCCAAATATGGCATTCAGCCCTATTTATAGCAATTCTTTCTAAAATACAACAAGTATCATATAGTTTCAGTCAAATAAGCAACTTAATAGTTGCTACGGGACGGACCAAGTCACAATCCCCAACGGTGCATGCCCACACGCCCATCACCTAGCATGTGCGTGACCTCAAAGTAGTGAAACGATGTGAAATCCGGGTTTCATACTCTCAAGATAAGATTTACAATCATTACTTACCTCAAACCGGTCAAATCCCTACTCCGCGACGCCCTTGCCTCTAGAATCGGCTTCCAAACGTCCCGAGTTTGACCAAAAGCAATACAATGCAATCAATATAGGCCAAGGAACCAATTCCATACGAAAAACTATCAATTTAGACCAAAATCCCGAAATTCACCCAAAACCGGCCCCCAGGTCCACATCTCGGAATCCGACGAAAATCACAAAACTAGAAGCTCCTTTCACTCACGAGTCTATACATACCAAAATCATCAAAATCCGACATCAAATGGTCCCTCAAATCTTCAAATCAAACTCTCCAATTTCCAAGCCCTAACCCTTCAATTTCATCCCTAATTTCTACTTATTTCATGCTTAAACAACTGAAAATTACCATAATCACAAGTATTAAGCTCAAATAACATACCTCAATGAGTATCCCCTTGATTCCCTCTTCAAAACCGTCCAAAAAGCTCCAAGTCCGAATAAGAATGGTGGCAAATAACTCAAATTTCGCGAAGTCCTCCTTTTATACGTTCTGCCCAACACTTTCTGCATCTGCGGTCCTCATGTCGCTTCTGCGACACCGCACCTGCGGTTTTCACTTAAAGCTCAGAACCCGCTTCTGCGATCAAATTCCCGCATCTGCGTTCTCGCAGGTGCGGTCCCATATGCGCACCTGCGACTCCTGCCTTTCTCAGCTATGGCCGCTTCTGCGGCAGGTCTTCCGCTTCTGCGGGCCCGCACCTGCGACCCCCACTCTGCAGGTGCGGTTATGACAGCTGAAGGAAATCTTCAGCATTCCTCCAAATTCCATCCTTGATCCGTCAACCACCCAAAATCAACCAGAGGCCCTCAGGACCTCTGCCAAACATACCAATAAGTCATATATCAACATTGAAACTTAGTCGAACCTTCGGAACACTCAAAGCAACATCAAAACACCAAATCACCCTCGGATTCAAGCTTAAGAACTACTAAACTTCCGAATTCCGCAAACAATGCCGACACCTACCAAATCACCTCCGAATGTCCTGAAATTTTGCACACACATCACAAATGACACTATGTACCTACTCCAACTTCCGGAATTCCATTCCGACTCCGATATCAAAATTTCCACTGCCGACCGAGAAACGCCAAATTTTCAATTTTGCCAATTCAAGCCTAATTCTATCACGGACCTAAAAATGACATTCCGAACGCGCTCCAAGTCCAAAATCACCTAACGAAGCTGACCGAACCATCAGAATTCACATTCGAGGTCGTCTACTCATAAGTCAACATCCGGTTGACTTTTCCAACTTAAACTTCTAAATAGGAGACTAAGTGTCTCATTCCACACCGAAACCACTCCGGACCCGAACCAACCAACACAATACGACGAAATACGGCTGAAGAACACAGAAAGAAGCAGAAATGGGAGAAACGGGGCTATAATTCATGAAACGACCGGCCGGGTCGTTACACTGGTATTATCTTTACCTAATTTTCCCAATAATTCATTGAGACAACAGAAAATGTTGTCTTTTTAACTTATCTATTTTTTCCTTTTGGACTATCATACAAAGAACAATATAAGTCTAGTCTAAAATCATTTTTTAATAAATTAAAATTTTAATATGTGATTATTTTAACATTTTAAAAGTATCTTTTAGATTTTATAAATTTGGCAGATACTAGGCATAGCTGGCCAACGTTTTTGATTTGGCCACCATAGCAAAATATATGAGTCACCTTATCTGTACAAATTGTACTTCATTGTTTGATGTCAAATACCTAATAAATTAAGCAAAAATTGTTGGACGTGTCTCCATTAGTTATGCCCAAATCGCCCTCAGTATAACTATTTTTTTATAAATAATAATCTTATCTGAACCAATTTACCTTTACTACGATTGTTCTGATAGATACTTGCTATTTTCGATACTAACAAAGATATCGCGTCTTATAGGCTATACATAAACTAAATAAAACAATCGTGAAGCAGTAAAAAACGATGAGATTTATACAATGTGTTACTTATTCTAATTAATTTGAAAGAGTAAAAAAAAAAAAAAAAAAAGTAGCCGGTGCACTAAGCTCCCGCTATGCGCGAGGTCCGGGGAAGGGCTAGACCACAAAGATCTATCGTGCGCAGCCTTACCCTGCATTCTGCAAGAGGTTGTTTCCGCGGCTCGAACCCGTGACCTCTTAGTCACGTGGCAGCAACTTTACCAATTACTCTAACTCGAAAGAATAATTAATTTATATCCTTTGGTGATGAGGCCAATGACAATTGATTGGTGATTCAACGGGGGTAATATGTTGTTTTGAGTAGAATATTCAATTCCCAAGTTCAAATATGAAAAGATAAAAGAAATATTTTCATCATACAACAGAAATGACAAGCATAAGAACTGTGATTATAATGATAACTACTGTAATATTCAGCTTTTTCTGCCAATAATTTATCAGTAATTAAAAAAAAAAGGTTATATCGTAGAGACTAGAGCGAAGAGAGATGCATTACAATTTACGAAGTTAACTTGGTACTATATAATAATAGTGATTTTTGAACTTGGTATAATAGTGATTAAATCATACAAAAAAATAAACCCAACCAAAACATATCCTAGTTCCTAACTTGTGCTAGGGAGAATAGCTTCCACGATTTTCTGTATAATTATTCTCAAACTCGTTAAATAAAACATCAGTCTTTTTACACAATAGTTGGTGAATCACAAAATTAGAAAAGACAGAGCCACTTTAGGCATTGTGGAAAACCATATCATACTTCATTATCCAAACATCCACGGGAGAAAAGTAACATTATGCTATAACCTAAAAAAATTTACTTGTAACTAAATCAATAAATGCATGAAGTTTTTTTAGGCATACATTTATAATTTAATTATTATCGATTAAGTGAGAAAGGTAAAAATCACACACCAATCTAAGGGCCCGTTTGGCCATAAAAAAGTTTTTTTTTTCGAAATTTTTTTCACTTTTTTTTTGAAATCAGTGTTTGGCTATGAAATTTTTGATTTTCACTTCAAGATGAATTTCGAAATTTTTCGAAATTTTGAAAAACTCCAACAAGCTATTTTTCAAAATTTTCACTTCAGATCACTCACAAAAATTCAAAAATAACCCAAAATTATATTCATGTCCAAACACAACTCTAATTTTCAAATACCATTTTTACTTGAATTTTTTTTTCTACTTTTTCCGAAATTTTACAATTTTTATGTCCAAATGCCCGCTAAGATGTTCAGTTTGTCAAAATATTAGTGAAATAATAGAGTATGTAACGCAAATTCAAAGAAGTTATCACATAGTTACATGCAGAAATTTGGACGTGTGTTTTGGTGGAGCTATTCCGGGTTATCTAATAACTTAGTGTGAGAGTATCACCAAGCATAACGGTGGAATCAATAAAATTCTTTATCTTTAACTAGAGATTTCAGTTCGAGCTATTATTAGTTTAAAACAATCATCAAATTTTGTCACCTTCAAAAGAGCAAATAATCATTCAATTTAAGACTTTTGAGAATTTCACCATTATGTTTGAAATGCAAAATTAAGATCTAAAAGGAGAAAGAAAAAATAAATATGAGATTTTGAAAGTATAAATGAGAACCAAATGGTTAGTTTTCATTTGCCAGAACAGATTCACAGAATATTCTAGTCCAACTCCCACTACTATATAAACCCACTGTCATGAGAAACGCAAGAGAGATTACAGAAACGACAAAAAGAAAAACAGAAAACGTAATGAGCGAGGCACTGAAGCGAGATTATCGTGTGTGCGAGGAGGAGATAGGGAGGGGACGATTCGGCGTCGTTTTCAAGTGTTACTCGCCGGAATCCAGCGAGCAATTCGCCGTCAAGTCTATCAATAAGCTTCTCATTGCCGATGACTCCATTGATCGTCAATGCCTTTACAACGAAGCTAAAATCATGCACTTGCTTTCCCCTAATCCTCACATCGTTCGTATCTTCGACGTTTACGAAGACGAAACTTATCTCGATATCGTTCTCGAGCTCTGTAACCCCTCCGATCTCTTCCGACGACTCTCTACTCAGCGGACCTTCTCCGAGTCTGATGCCATTGCCGTTATGGTACTAGTCTTTCAGTCAATCACACGAAATAGCGGAAATTTATACTTTTCCTTCACTATAATTGGCTTGAAATCGAAAAATGTACTTGCATATGATGTTTATATTAAACTTATAAGTGTAACACATATTTCTTTCATACACACGATTATTATTTAACTTGGTTTATTGATAGAATTTTCACTTTAATTTCTAAATACATGTTTAAATTATTGGTTTAACGCAAACACGGGATGTAGGTAAATATTTATCTTATAAAACTCACATCTATTACCTAACGTGATTAATTTATATTATATGTTACTATTACTGTTGAAATATTTGATTGGTGTAAATATCAATTGCTGATAAGTATTTAGGAAGTAAATGTGGATGATAAACTAATCTGTAGAATTAAGTGAAATTTTGTTTTAAAATTTGGCAGTTCTTTTTTTCTAGATTCAAATTAAGTGCACTTTGACAAATATTTTTAAATCTTCGGATATGATCATAAATGTAATTCTCATTGTAGTACGTTAATGTAGTTTTTGAACATTTAAATTGTACGGTAATTCTGAAAAACTAAATCAATGAACTACATTTAACTCAATAAAGTTAGTCAAATTGTGGCAAGTGGAGCAGTATATATGTAAATAGGCTTTTCTACTGTTTTTTCCCTCATAATTGAATTTTTTTGGATCAACTGTTTTCTAGGTTCCGTTAATGGAGGCGATAGCGCATTGTCACCGACTCGGCGTAGCGCACCGGGATATTAAACCTGATAACATACTGTTTAACGACTGGAACGAGCTCAAATTGGCTGATTTCGGCTCGGCTGAGTGTTTCCGCGAGGGCGAGCTCATGAGCGGAGTGGTAGGGACGCCGTATTACGTGGCGCCGGAGGTTTTATCCGGAAGAGATTACAATGAAAAGGTAGATATTTGGAGTGCCGGTGTCATTCTGTATATAATGCTGGCCGGAATCCCGCCTTTTTACGGTGATTCTACGGTGGAGATCTTTGAAGCTGTTCTCCGAGCGAACCTTAGGTTTCCAACGAGGATTTTCCGTTCGGTTTCCCCGGCGGCGAAGGATTTGCTTCGGGGAATGCTGCGTAAAGATGTTTCTAGAAGATTCTCCGCTGAACAAGTACTTCGTAAGTATCGCCACCGTATCATTCTTCTTGCCTCTTTTTTCTTAGCATAGAGTTTATTTGACCAAAATTTCAAATAATTAAATTAAGTAAGATCTATTTGAAAAATAGAATTATTTGAATAGTTTCTCAATTTTCCATAATATCATTCTTATGTATAACTTAATAATTAGTCCCTTAGCTTCTTCGAGGATCAAATAATTCAACTTGCTTGGACTTAAAATATTTGTGCATTTATCAGCTGAGTTGAAAGTACAGTGACATACGCTTGATTAAATTTGATATATATTTTGTTCCATATTCTTAGAAGTTTTGGTCCGTTGGACCTCTAGATAGAATGGGAGTATTGTTGTTTAGAAGATTCGTTTGCATCATTGCATGGATATATTTACTTCAGAGATGATCTAGGATTTGAAGTTATAGGAGTTTAAATTTAGGATTCTAGCTACAATTCATTTATTTACTGGGTGTTATGAACAATAAAAGAAGAAGAAGAGTATTGCAGAGAAAATTCTTATTGATATTGGGATGATTTACAATAGGGTAAGACCCCTCTATTTATAGGGAGAGAGTGACTTAGCCACCAAGTAATAAACCCTAGAATCTCTCCAAATATAGACATTCACCATAAATAAAATTCTATTTATAACACTGAGCTCTTAAACAATTAGTTTTACTTTTTTATTTTGTCAATTTTTAATACATACAGTTTGAGTCGAAGATACTAGTCCATTATTTTTACATATTTTCTAAAAAAAGAAAAGCATATATAATGTTTGAGTTGGAGCTACTGCATGCGAACTTACTCTCTACATCCACCCTGACTTGTAATTTCGCTTATCCGAATTTGATGAAATAGTATAAATTATTCTTAGTCCACACTCCGCTCGTGTTTGAGCACAATGAATACCTATGAAAAATGTTATTACACTGTATTTGTAAAATAAATTCTGGAAATATAAATGAATATAAACAGTAATGAATATAAACAGAAATGACATAAACCAATTCGAGCCCACTGAATTCACAGTGTTTCCTTAAGGAATTTAATCCCCTCCTAGTACCCAAGGTTATGGATTATTTCCTCCCAGGATAGAACGAATTACACACTGGTGTAGTGGTACTTCAAACCCCAGTGTTTCAGCGAACACAAAGTTCGGTAGCAAATCACACTTACTTTTTGCTTTGTTTTGATGCTAAAAGTATGCAGAAGAAGGAGAGGAAACTCAGAAAATTGTTGTTAAAATTCTGAGCAGAATAGTGTTGTATTTATAGCCAAAGTTGGGTCTCTTCAGAATGGCTGTTTATGCAAAACGCCCACAACATAAATGTCATTACATAAATGGCCATTTACTCAATAATAAAGAGGGAAAATAAAGAGGGAAAATTGAAGAGGGTAGTTACTTTTCTGTTACCAAAACAGAAAAACGGATTGGATTTAATATTAATATTTTGTTATTAAAACAAATATTTAATAACATTTCNGGACTTGGGTAATAACAGACTTGCTATCTACCATTTTGTCGTCCAAAAACTTTGCAGCAACAAACTTTTTCAACCCGGCATCTTCGGTTTTGTATTTCTTTTCAAGCGCAGTCCACAGTTCCTTTGACGTTTCCACGCCACTGTAGACGTTATACAAACCATCCTCCAGCCCGCTTAGAATATAATTCTTGCACAAAAAATCTGAATGCTTCCATGTCTCAATTACGAGAAAGCGTTCAGTTTCTGGAGTTTCATCGGACAGCACAGGAACATCTTCCTTGATGAACTTCTGGAGACTTAGAGTAGTCAGATAGAAGAACAACTTTTGCTGCCAGCGCTTGAAATCAATCCCGAAAAATTTTTCGGGTTTCTCCGCCGGTGCCAATGCTGCCGGTTGCGTTCGGCTTGTTGACGCATTGGCAGTCACCATTGGAACCGCTTGGTTCTCATTCTCATTAGTCATTTCTGTAAAAGAATGACACAAACGTTAAAATCACGTAGATTTTAATAGAGTACAAAACCACAAAGGTTTTACTCTTCCAGAAACAGTAAGTACAAATACAGAAAATAAATTATTAAATTCCTTAAGCTTGTTATTACACTGTATTTGTAAAATAAATTCTGGAAATATAAATGAATATAAACAGTAATGAATATAAACAGAAATGACATAAACCAATTCGAGCCCACTGAATTCACAGTGTTTCCTTAAGGAATTTAATCCCCTCCTAGTACCCAAGGTTATGGATTATTTCCTCCCAGGATAGAACGAATTACACACTGGTGTAGTGGTACTTCAAACCCCAGTGTTTCAGCGAACACAAAGTTCGGTAGCAAATCACACTTACTTTTTGCTTTGTTTTGATGCTAAAAGTATGCAGAAGAAGGAGAGGAAACTTAGAAAATTGTAGTTAAAATTCTGAGCAGAATAGTGTTGTATTTATAGTCAAAGTTGGGTCTCTTCAGAATGGCTGTTTATGCAAAACGCCCACAACATAAATGTCATTACATAAATGGCCATTTACTCAATAATAAAGAGGGAAAATAAAGAGGGAAAATTGAAGAGGGTAGTTACTTTTCTGTTACCAAAACAGAAAAACGGATTGGATTTAATATTAATATTTTGTTATTAAAACAAATATTTAATAACATTTCTGTTAATATTTTACTATTAACAAATAAATTTGGTCCAAAAAGTTAATCAATCAATCGATCATTCCGAAGCCGAAGCCGAAGCCGAAGCCGAGCCGAGCGACGACGACGACGGCGCGAGGCTTGCCTTCTTCTCAACTCTTTAAGAGCTAGAAGAAGAGCAATTGCTTATATACCCATAAAAAACCTCTTCCTCTTCCAATATGGGACAATGCCCATTTGCCAAGGGAGGGGGAACTTAAAATTTCACTCAAAAATTTCATTTCCCTCCATTTCCCATTCACCTTCTTTTAAGTATTTAATATATTAATTAAATACCTTAAAAACCCAACAAAAAGTTGGGTCATATTATTATATCACAAACATAATAATTTATGGTCGACGATATTACATCGTTTGAAATTAAATATTTTGATTCACTAATTTGTTCGGTTAATGAGGTGATATAATAATACACAGAGCATCCATGGATAACTAGCAATGACGAGAGGAGATCAGTTGCTGTTCTAGCTTGAGAAATTTGGCTCCTCGAAATTACCGTAGCTACTTTATCTCAAACTGCTGCCAGGGAACAGCCCCTAATTTGGACCTCTACCCAACACTATAAATGGATGCAGATATTTTACCATAGCTAGTTGTCTTGGCGGCTTCCTTCTTGTAGAGTAATTAATGAAGTATTAATGTGTTAAGTACTGAGTATTAGCCAATTTAGAGTAAGAAATTAAGGGCTGCTGCATTAACCTCTCATTACTTTTAGTATGGCGCTTTTCGGATGGAATAGGAGATATGGAAGAGATTATTGTAATCTTCAACCAGATATATGTAAATCAAGCTAATCTTTCCTGTTTGTTAGCATATTTTTATCTTGCTTGGCAAATTTAGAACTAATTTAACTTGGAAGATATCAAACTTAGCAATAGAATTCTAATCCACGAGATATATCCAGTATCTTAAAGGTTCTTACGATTTTTTTCCAATAATGTTTATCAAAAAGATCCTTTAATGATTGAGGATAAAGAAATGTATTAATCATGATTTGATTTGCCATATCTTTTCAAACCTTCATCTTTTCCTTGTGATAATTTCTTTTCCAAACCGAAACTGCGAGCACTAAAAAGCCATAACTGTATTGTTGACTTTAGATAAAGGTGCACACATGATTTTTCTTGAACTTTAGCAAGTTTATTGGTCTTATTTTTGTTGAATGTAACTTCAATTAACTCCAGATTAAGTTGGTATATTGATCTTAAAAAGGTAGAAACTGTCCATTATCATGCTGTTATGGCAGCATGGTATCTGATTAGACCAATCCCTCCCCCTACCCCCCCCCACCCGAAACCCCCTAAAAAAAAAAAAAAAAAAAAAAGAAGAAATCCGTTTAGTTCCATTGAAGTCATGATATTTTTCCAAGCGTAGTATATATATATGGATCATAGTAAGATGTTGTATTTATATCGAAAATTATTAATTACCCATTGTATCTAAAATAGTTGTCCTTGTTTTGCTTTTTAAAATAAAAGAACGATTTTATTGCGTGATGACTCTGATTTTCTTTTGTCTTTTTAAGCTTACTGAAATGTTTTCTAGAAAACTAAGGAGTCCTTTGGTTGAGGTTCGAGGAAATATAATCTCCACATAAAAAATCAGCATTAGTTTAGCTAATACAAAATTTTATACCATGATTATTTCTTCTAATACACCAACGAAATATTCTCCAAGTATCAAAGGCTTCCATCTTAGTGTTTTTCAGAAGCTAGGAAGAAGATGTTGCATCTAAGCACAACTTTGAGGCAGAACCAAGGAAAGACAATTACTGATGGGACTAGCTGCTAAGAGGGGTATTAAGGAGTCATATTACACAACTAGGTCTCAATTTACTTAGCAGAAATTGATGTTGAAATGAACTTTAGTAAAATGAAGCCAAAAGGAATTACCTAAGGAGAAATCTCATGCAGATGCAGTTATAAAAAAATATATCTTAGTTTTATGCTAATATGGAAACTATCTAGGAGGCATCAACACAGAAGACCTGATAAAGGTTCAAATTCCATCAAGTTTGATTTGCATAGCTTTTGAAACTGGAGTTCCACTTATAAAAGTTTTAAATTCTAGCACACTGTACCGGAGTTTTTCTACATTTTAGCTAGGGTTAGTGTTTTTCTACATTTTATTTTCGCATTAAAAATGACTATTTATAAATGGGGTTTTGACACAGTTACCCACAAAAACAAAACTATTTACCCTTGTCTACCCATTTGTTTTCCTACCCATAAACTAATTACATTTCCTACCCATAATAGGTTTTGTGGGGATTTTTTCTTTATTCTCCAATTCTTTTTTATTTCTATGCTTCTTTTCTTTTCTTTTTTCTTTTTTTTTCTTTTCTCCTTTTTTTTCTTATTTTCTTCTTATTTTCTTTTCTTTTTTCCTTTTCTAATTTTATTTAACTTCTGTTTTTTTATATTCTTTTTCTCTTCATAATCTAATTTCATTTACTGTTTTACTATTTTTATTATTTATTTTTTTATATTATTACTAAAGAAAAATCAAATCGTGTACCAATTAAATATAGTTAATACAACCAAAAAAATATTAACTAACATATGATACCGGTATAGTATATAACTATACCAACTGGGTATACAATTTTGTATGCGAAGAGTTAAAAAAAATTTAATTCAATTATAAAACTGAAATAATATCAGTTGTAAAAAAAAAAAATTAAAAATTCTAAAAGGACCTAATTGTAAGAGTATACCATTACATCATATAGCATACTATAATTTTTTTTTTTTTTTTTTTTTATTTTCAGTTTGCCCCTCACGCTTGGGTAAAAGCTTAAAACAAATTAAAAGGGAAAAGACAAGTGAATTTACGGGTAAATAAGTATACTATTTTTTTTTGGTAATTATGAATTTTTCATTACCAAGTAAATATTTACATTTTGTTTCAGAATCTCTGGAGTTGGACAGATGCCCCAACTTCAGTACACTTCTTCCTCTTCTAAGCATACAAAATTAAAGCCTATACATGATGCTATATTCTCTATACCTCTAACTAGGATAGTAATCTAGTTGCTTCAACATTTTCATCAGCTTCTTTCTCCTTCTCCCCTTGCAATGTATATCTTGAATGATCTGTCTTACTATAGCTGCTGCTGGCCTCGTTTTCTGTTGGAAGATTTTGCTGTTCCTTGCTAACCATATATTGTACACACTACCTGCCAGGGCCATACGATATATTTTTCCTCGTGCACTGTTCTAGAAGCATTTTTCCAAGCCCAATCCACTTCTTACTTCCATCCCATAGCTTGCCTCTGAACTCCTTGCCAATCCAGTATTTTTTGCCACACTTGAGAAGTAGCTGGACATTTAAAGAGCATGTGTTGGATGCCTTCTTCCTCACTGTCACATAATGCACATGTTGTATCATATCCCATGTTCCATTTCTTCAGTCTCATCTTTGTGTATAACCTATCCTGTAGTGCAAGATACAGTATGGAAATCCACTTTGGGCAGCCCTGGTTGTTACATATCAGTTTCCTCCATTGCACTTTGGGATGTTTTTCTCGCATCGTGTTATACACTTTCTTGATGGAATATTTCTCTTCTTTTAGGAATTCCTCTTTAGTTACCCCTGCTTCCTCCAAGTACTGCTTAGCTTTTAGGAGTTTCTGTATTAGCCATGATGCTTGTGTAGCCTGACTGTCCCATACTTGAGCCCTTTTTATGTAATAGCTATGTACCCATTGAACCCACAACCTGTCTTTCTTCTTGCATAAGTTCCAGTAATGTTTAAGTATAGCAGCCTTGTTCCATGTGCATATATCAACTATGTTGAGCCCCCCTGCTGATTTTGGCAGACGGATTTTATCCCATGCTATTAGGGCCTTCTTTGAGCATTCATTATTCCCATTCCATAAGAATCTTCTACATATCTGTTCTATTTTTTGCATCACCTTCTTTGGTAGTATGAATATTTGTGACCAGAACTGTTGAATAGCTGTGAGTACACTTCGAATCAATTGTAATCTTCCTGCATAAGAGAGCATTTTTGCTGTCCATGAAGTTACTCTTCCTACCATCCTTTCCATAAGTGGTTGGCATTTCCCAATGGTTAACCTTTTTGAGCTCAGTGGCACTCCCAAGTATCTGAAGGGCAGAGTTCCTGCAGAAAATCCTAGCTCCTTTATAATTTGCTCTTGTATCTATTCTAGTACTCCACCAAAATATACAGCACTCTTTCCTTGATTTGCAATTAGTCCAGAGGCCACAGAGAATTGCTGGAATTGTTTGTATAGTAGCTGAGCAGACATTACATCCCCTCTACAGAACAACAACAAATCATCTGCAAACCCCAACTGTATAATGTTCAGCTTTGCACATCTAGGATGATAGTTGAAATCTGGGTTCCCTGCCAAAGTCTTTAGAGATCTGCTTAGATACTCCATGGCTATCACAAACAAGAAAGGTGATAGGGGATCACCTTGCCTTAATCCTCTTTTAGCATAGAATGGAGCACTTGGTTTACCATTTATAATGACTGAGTATGACACTGTTGTTAGACACCCCATGATCCATTTCACAAACATATCTGGAAAGTTAAGTGCATGCAAGACTTGTTCAAGAAACACCCATTCAATAGAGTCATAGGCTTTTTGCATGTCAATTTTGATCATGCATCTTGGTGACACCCTTTTCCTCCCATATCCTTTCACTAATTCATGACTTAGGATTATATTATCTGTTATAAGTCTGCCAGGAATAGAAGCTGCTTGACTCTTATCAATGATGCTATCTATGACTCCCTGTAATCTACTAGTAAGCACTTTGGATATAATTTTGTATAGTGTGGAGCAACAGGAGATAGGCCTATATTGTTTCACTGATGTAGGGTTCTTTATTTTAGGCACCAATGTTATAGTTGTACAGTTTATTGGTTGGTAGAGGTTTTGAGAATCAAGAAACTCCAGCACAGCTTCAGTTACCTCTTCCCCAATCGTGGCCCATGCTTTCTTGAAAAATACTGAATTGAATCCATCTATCCCCGGAGCTTTATTATCATCTATTCCTTGGAGTGCTTGCCATACTTCTTCTCTGCTAATTGGCTGGATGAGCTGCATTTGTTGTTTCCTTGACAGCACAGGTCCTCTCCTCATATCAAAATAAGTATACTATTATAGTATATTGTATACTATTACAGCATATTGTTATAGTATCTTGCATATTATTACAGTATACCATAACAATATATTGTATACTATAATAGTATACTGTTGCAGTATAACTATATACTCCTATAGTATATTAGTATACTGTAGCAGTATACTGTTTTGTAAACTATAATAGTATAGTGTTGCAGTATAGCTATATACTCCTACAGCATATTGTATACCGTAGCGGTATATTGTAGCTGTGTTCTTCTTCAATTTTCAACTGAAAATTCGATCTCAATCACCTCAAATCAGCTACAAATGCTATCAAATTTCAGTATTTACTTTCAGAAGGTACTATCAGCAATATTTAACAACACCCACTTTGAATCAAACAAGAAATCTTTAAAATAATTAGATCCAATTTCTTTTTGAAGAAGGATATAAGGAAAATGGAAGAGTTTGTCCAAGTCTTCTTCACGGAGGCGAACTTTATCCAAGTCATTTCTGGGTG